GGCCGGGCCGGCCCCGGGATACAGACTGACAAGAATCACTTACACAAATACGCCCTCAGGGTTCACAAATAAATAATTCATATACATTTTGCGCACCGTATTTACATTTCGCCGCTTTTTTTTCCTCCGTTTTTCTTTTTTTCTTCTTCTTTTTTTTTTTTCTTTAAGTTACGGACTTCCCAAACTCTCGCAGCGGCGAGCGGGGACCAACAGCCCGGCCCCCTCCCGGCCCTTCCCCGGGATCGGGGAGCCGGGGAAGGCGAAGGGGGGGTCTCTCCCCGAAGCAGTCCGTGGCAGAGGGGGGCTCGACATCCCCCCCCGAGCAGTTCCTGGAGAGGGGAGGGGGCGGAGAAGCAAAGCCCCCCCCCCCCGGAGCAGCCGCCCCCTGCCCGTGCTGCCGGCTCAGTCCCAGATTGGGGAGGGGGACACCGCAGCGACCCCGTTGCCCCTCGGGGGCACAAGGGGGTAAAGGCGGTGGGTGCCCCGGGGGGGGCGGTGTCAGCTCTGCCGGCTCTTCGTCCTGCCAAACCTGCCCTTGCTTTTTGCGTCCTTTATATATATTTTAAAAAAGGAGAAGGGGGGAGGTCTCATTTTATATATATTTATATATATATTTGGGGATGAGCGGGAGTCTGTCGCTTGCTCGCTGCCCCAGAGGTGGGGTGGCCCCCTCCAGCCCCCCCTCCCTCCTCCTCCAGCCCGGTGGGGTGCCGGTGGGGCTGCTCGGGGTGGCCAGGGCTCACCGGGGCTGGGCGGCCCGGGGCAGGACGCCGGGCAGGGGGGGCAGGGGCGGGGGGGGCTCGCTGCCGCCCTGCAGTCCGTGGATGAGGATGCGGGGCACCAAGGGTCTCTGTAGGGCGGGGGGGGGAGCGCTGGGTCCGCGGTACAAGTAGAGAGCGGCGCCGGGGTCCAGGTTGGAGACCAAACTCTGGGGATAGAAGTAGGGCGAGGGGAACATCCTCTGGAGGGCTGAGTAGTTGCCAGCCTCGGCCAGCAGCTCCAGGCCCACCGCCGTCTGCCTTTTCCACTTGGTCCTGCGTGGGGGGGGGACAAGCCGAGAGAGAGGGGTCAAGGAGGGAAGGATGCTCCCAAAGCCGCTCCCGAGCTCGTTTTACCCTTTTTTCACTCTTTCCCCGGGTTCTGCTCTCCTTGCGCATCCCTTCTCCCCGCCGCTGGATCCCCGGGCCAGTCCCTCCCTGTAGGGATGGGATGGAGTGGGATGGGATGGACCAGCCCAGTGCAGGGGGTCATAGACCCCATTAACGAAGCGAGGGGGCTTCTCTCCCCGGGGTCCCCGCCACGGCAGCCCGGGCTGAGCACCCACGGAGCCCTCCCGGAGGCACCGGAGCCACAGCCCGGCTGGGATCCCGCTGGCGGGGGTGGAAATCCCTGCGATATAAATCGCGACCAACAATTCAGCCCCTTCCTGGGGGTGTAAATTCCAGATTGCGAACTGCGTGGGACATCTTCCTCCGTGACACGGGCTATTCTTCACTCGGCAGCCCCGCCGCTGAGCGGGGGATGCTGCTGCCACTGCGATGGCCCGGCCCGGGGCCGCTGCGGTCCCGTTCTGCCACCCGGGGGTCTGGGACCCTTCCCTGGGTCGGGGATGGCGCGGGAGTCCCGCGGGGGGACACGCGTGGGGCAGCGTCCCGAGACATTCGTTTGCGGCATATCTGTACATTTTTATCTATACGTACATATAGGTATGGGGGGGGGGGTGTATGTGTGTGGGTCGGATCTCATGGAGAACCCCGGGATCTCGGAGCGGGGCCGGGAAAGGGGCTGGGGGGCACCGGCGTGTCCTTGCGGGACGGATTTGGGAAGGGAGGGATTTGGGGGGGGGTTGATCTCACAGCCCCCGCCGCCCCTAAACTCTCCCAACGTCTCCCAACGTGGCGGATCTTAATCAGCGGTGGAAATGAGTGTGTGTGTGTGTGTGTTAAAACCTGAGGGGAGAGAGGGGACGGGGGGGAGGGGGCTGCGGGCGGGGGGGTCCCTGGTTTGGTGGCGGTGGCAATGGTCGGGGCTGGGGAGGCGCCGGCGGGGACACCCCGGTAAAAGCCACCGAAGCCATCGCGTCTCCAGCCCTTTTTCCAGATTTGTCGCTGAAGCGCTAAACCTATTTCCAGCAGTAAATTATTCATCATAATAATAATTGTGTAATTACTGTAAGGGGTGTTAATTATTGATGCCCAAAGCAGTAATTGGTATCTATTATTAATGGCCCGATGTGTTATGCTGTTGTGTTTTAGCTGGAAGCCCGGTCCTGCCTCCCCGGCTTTCTGGGGCTGGGGGCACGGATTGTGTGTCCCCCCCGGCCCCAAACCTGCCCTGCCCCAGCATCACTTTTCTCCCCCTTATTTGGGGGTAAAAGGCCCCCGGGGAGAGGAGGGGGACCCCGGCATCTCTCCTGGTGGCAGGAGGGAGGGGGTGGCTGTGGGGTGCAAAAGCCCCGCCGGGTTTGGGGGGAGAGGGGCCGGAGGGACCCGGGCGCTGTGGGCAGAAGGGAAGGGTGAGTTTGGGTTTTTGTCTTTGTTTTTGTTATTTTTACCTTCTGTTCTGGTACCACGTTTTCACCTGCGTGTCGGTGAGGTTGAGGGAAGCTGCCAGCTCCATCCTGTCCTGGACGCTCAGGTATTTTTGCCTCTCGAAGCTGCGCTCCAGCTGGGCCAGCTGATGGTCGGTGAAGGCGGTGCGGGCTTTGCGCGGCTTTTTCAGCCGCACCGGGGGACTGTCCCGGGAGCTGGAGATCTCTCGGTCCCCTTCTTCTTTCACTGGGCAGAGAGGGAGGAAGAAAGACCGGGTCAGGGCAGGAAGGGAAAGGAAATACCCTCAAAAGAGGGGGCTAACCCGCTGCAGCCATGAGCCGGAGGAGCCGGGCTCAGGCACCGACCCGGACTCACGGCGCAAATTTACTTTACAAACCCATCAATTTTAACCCCGGTTGCCCAAGGGGGAATCAGGGGGTCCTCGAAGCGGACCCGGCCTTTCCCTGTCCCAGGGGCCTGGGAGCGGGGCTGCGGGGAGCCCCGGCCCAGCCCCGCTGCGCTCCTGCCCGCAAAAAAAAACCCCGCATCTCCCTCAGCCCGCATTTCTCTGCTGGGACCCTGCTCCGGGTTTGTTCCCCAAACCCCAGCAGCTTTCTCGATGCTTGAAGTTATTTTTTCATTCCTCTCTCTCTTTTTTTTTTTTTTTTTTTTTTTTTTAAACCCTAAACCAAAAATAACCCAAAAAAAAAATTCCGACCCCGCCTT